ACAACAGAAACAGGCTCTAGGTTATGGACTGCAGTTTTGAAAAGTAAAAACAATTTACCTGGATCCCCATTCTTGGCAAAATCAACTTAAATGTGCACCTAAACACAGTAACATAGTCAAGATAAAATTTCTGTTAGCATGCGAGCAGAGTCTGACCAGACTTATTCTGATTTTTTTTGCTGTAACTTTGGCAGAGGAGCCATAGAAAGCCATAATGGGGAAAGGGGTAAAATACAAGAGGTGGGCCACCTTAGCTGTTCTCAACCACCTCCTGCACAGAAGCTAGTCAGAGTGACATTTTCCAAAGTAAACAAGGCAATCCTTTAAGCCAAGGCAAGTTATAAAGTACACATTCAAGAAAATAATATCGTTAATAGATTTTATGGTTTCAACTTTAAAGGCTTTATGGGATCAATAAAATGTTGCAATAAGCAATTCAAGCAACATTGTCTTGAAGATCTGAAGTGTAACCTGGCCTTAGCTGATGAAAGAAAACTTTCTCTGTTAATCCGGCCAAGGTCCATGTGCAATGTGTTTGGCAGCCTTGACCCAGACCCAGTGGGTCAAGTCTATAATACAGAAGTCCCCACAACTGGGCACAAGCCAACAACTCAGTGGCCGTAAGAACAGCAGGTACAGATAATGGAGGCATTCACACTGTGTTGTATTGCGACATAATGAGGCAGGGTAGAAGTAACTTTATTTTCCACTGGTCTCAGAAAAGTGCAATGATAGGCCAAGTCACACTAATTTATGGAATCTATGTGGTCCATATTTTTCAATTTTAAAACGTGCATTCTTTAGAAACTAATGTACCACATCTACTCATTCATCACAGGTGCAGTGTTCAGGATCCCTCGTAACAAGCTGGCTTCTTCCGTTCTAGTTCCCAAAGCCACAACCTCCCATAACTTGAAGATCAACAGCTACTGAAGCTTGGGAACACAATCACCTCTGAGTTTCCCTCCCACACCATCTTGGACAATATATTGTCGTTTGTTTGTTATCACTGGATCAAAACCCTGGAACATAGTACTCAGTGACACGTGATAAGTCATTTGGCCTTTCAAACTTGTGCAGCCATTCAATAAGGTCGTGGAATACCTACTTGACAGCATTCTGGCTACACCTTCACCACTGCAGCAGTTTAAGAAGGCAACTCACTACCATCCCCTTCTTGATGACAATTGAGACTAAACTATAAAAGTCAGAGACACCACATCCTAAGAATGATGATTAAAAGCTTTACGGGCACTGTTTCACATCAGGTATTGAGGCAATTCTGTGTCATCAAACAACAAAAACATTGTCCTAACTTCAAAAGGAAGGTGCTTGAATGATGGCACCGATACAAAAATAATGTTGAAACAAAAATTCAAGCAAGTTATGGTTAGCTTTATAGTCAACAAGGCTATAGTTGAGACTTACTTAAATACAGTCATGCCTCTCACATTACAATTGGTCATGCAAGAAAATGAGATACATCAAGACTGTGGCAATGAAAGGAGCTAAGCAATAAAACTAAGATGATGAGAAAATAAGAGCGACACAAGAAAGGTGAAGAATGATACATTATTTTCAGGCCAAGTGGTAAAGTTGCTCAAAATTCAGCAGGTTAGAATGGGGAAAATTAACAGCTAAAAGGTCAAAATTAATAAGCAACTGTGTTTTGTGATATAACTGCCTCAAAATAAAGATAAAGATAAAGTAACCTCATACGTTTGCAAATGATGTCTAATTACTTTCCTTTGCATTACTAATAGTTAATAGTACACCATGACTGCCTCAATCTTGTTGCTAAACAGTCAAGATCCAAGGGATCATCCATGCAGCGTTCAAAGTTGTAATGGAAAGTGTGAAATGGAAAGTGTGAAATGGACATTGCTACGACTAAAGTCAAGTGTAATCTCAGGAACACCTTAACCCAAGAGCACCCGTTTTCAAGTAGGCTTGTGGATGTAAGGTTCTCATCATCCTGTTTTTTGGACTTTCGTCATGCATTATCAGATTTTGTCATTTTACTGTATGTGTGAACTGACTTTTTCTTCATTCAGGGGGTGTGTGTGTCACTGGATAGGCCAGTGTTTATTCTGCATTCCTAATTGTCTTGGAGAAGATGGTGGTGAGCTTCCTTCTTGAACCACTGTAGTCCTTGAGGTGTAGCAGCAACACTCTCAGTGGCATCAGAGAGGAAGTTTCAGGATTTTTACCCTACATGGCGATATAGTTCCAAGTCAGGATGGCAGGCAGCTTAGAAAGAAACTTGCATGTGAGGGTAATGCCCTTGAATGACAAGGGACAACATTTAGATTCTCTCTTGTTGGAGGTGGTCATTGCCTGCACTTGTGTTCTGAGTTGTACTGTTTAATTATTTTAGACAGATAGTCTTGTCTTTGTAAGATAGGGTATTCCTCAGGGTACATCAATATATTGAGACAGTTTGAGATTTTATTACACAGCTCTGTAGCAGGTGGGAGTTGAAGCTGAACCTCCTGGTATAGGGATAGGGACACTACCACTGCACCACAAGAGGGCACTTTGAGGCAGTTTGAAGAGGATTGATCTTTACCGACGCCTATGTTTCACCGACCATGACCCTCACTGACCCCAATATTCACCGACCATGACCCTCACTGACCCCAATATTCACCGACCCTGGCCCTCACTGACCCCAATATTCACCGACCCTGGCCCTCACCAATTCCAATATTCACCGACC